TGCAGAGTATTGACCATACTCACAGTACAGGACAGAATACTGTATACATGCATTTATTCAAATTCGTCCTTCTCCTCAGGCAAAAAGAGAATGTGTTTGGGACAGAAAATCCTCCCCAGATGCCATCTGACTACATCATATACTTGGCAGGAAGTTCCAGAGAAGTTAGATTTATTTTGGGCTCAGCGTGATGCCAATGCAGTCACATAGCTTTTGACTTGCAGAAGAATGACAACCTGCCAGTTCAGCACACGGACAAGAGCATACGTCCTCTTACAGAAGACCACAAGTTCCACTCTCTTTGATTCAAAGGTAATTACTTTTCTAATAAGGACTTCCTTATTACATGCCACAAAAGGCCCGATCATTATTTGATTTCTTCCCATACATTCTCCCTATCAAGCTTCCATTCCCAGAACTGGTCTGTGAGTGTAGACACACTTACTCCACTTCATCTAGGAAGCACCAGAACTGATGTGCATATGCTGTACTAATGCAGCAGGGGCACAGGTTTACTGAGCCTGGTTACGTCACACATGCCTTAATGCACCCTGAATACAGCAGCTCTACTGTGCACATGCTTTGCAGATCATTTGAACACTTCTCTGAGCAAAACGTCCCAGACAGAGATTAGGAAGCAATAGGTATAGAGAGATTTGATTTGGAATTGTTAACAAACTACTAGGAAACTTATAATAACAGCATATTCAGGGCAACAGAAGGACTGAGAGTTCCAAAATAATTTAAAAAGGAAGATAGTGTTCAAAACCAGGAAACAGGATTACTCTTTTCTGCTCCGCTCTTCCACCAAGACTTTTAAATATGAACCAGAGAACACAGGGATGAGGGAAAGCACTTGTAATGCTTGAAAGGATACTACAGAGTCAACTTCTTCCATCACTTGGATATTCTACTAAGTCACGTGCATTGAATAATAAGTAGGCATTCATTCCCTGAAAACAGAACTGGAAAACCACTTCTGGCAAAACTGAAGCCTGGATGCACTCCAAAGCATATGGAGAGAAGCAGATCAAAATGCAACATAACTTGCCAGGTTTTGGTAAGTGTACTTTTTTATTCAAAATGTTTTTATGGTTAAAGAGTATGAAAGTGTTTCTTTATTGAATAGCACAGAGAGCTTAATCCTGCAAAGTATTCCACATAACCATACTGCACTAATCCTCTCCAAATGAGAGTTGCTCGCTCCATGTTTTACATATGATCAATGGGAAAGAGCAAACAAACAAAAATTGTAGGCTGATCATGTAGGGAATCCTGCTTTGTTCTCTATTCAGGTTGGTTCACAGATCATAAGATGCATTTCAGGTAGGCTGACATGATGTCTGAGATCATTATCTCATGCTGCCATGAATTCCATGTACTGGATACATCCACACCTTTAAGAGCAGACAGTGCATGCTTAGATTATGCATGCACTTTATTTGTATCCTGAGTAACTAAACACAGTAAACAGAGTTGGAAATATCTTTTGAAATAAAATAATGGCCAAGATGGAAAACAGAAGGTTTCTCCTTAAAAAGTTAAACACCACCACCACCAAATATCACAATCTTACAGGAAAGAGATTATATAGAAAAATTCTGTTATATAGGGCTTTAAAACTTGTTTATTCTTTAGATCACCAAAGACAATCTCTTATTCAATACTGAAGTCCATGGGACATGTCTAAAGAGTCTGTAAACTTGGTCCAGAATCTCTAGAGGCCAGAAACTTTTCAGGCACACGAATGTTCTTTACACAGTTACTGTAATGCACAATCCTGCTGCCTTACCCTCAGCCTCGTGATGCAATTGCTAACTAATCAAAAGGAACTTCAGGACAATGTCTCCCAAATCTGGGACACTAACCTCTCCTGGTAAAATGTAAAATGTGAACAGTGTTAACCACCCAACTGTAAGATCTTAATAAAAACAAAAATCTAAATATACCTTGGTGGTATTTAGTAGCGTTTAAGTTTGTCAGGCTTGACTTCTTTGTTTTGTTTTCTTTTCTATTATTACAGATCTGCAGCCTAAGCAATGGGAAAACTTTGCACCTCAGAATTACTGTTCTGGGGTGAAACATAGTCTGTGTGGGTCCCTACCCACTAGGTTTTGGGTTTAAGTGATATATACCCAAGAGTTCGCCCTGCTCCTTTTGCATGAGCTGACACTTGACAGCACATCCTTCTGGCTACGAACATGTAAATTAAAATCAATAATAATAACAGTAACATACATTTGCCACAGAATATCAGTTGCAAACCACCTAATAGCATCCTGTTCCTCTTACACAAGAAAGCTAGGGCAGGTATTAAGCTCTGTTTTGCAGAATCTGATGTTCTATCAGCTCACTTCACAACACCGTTTTCAAACCGTCTGGAACACCAGCCAACAACATCTGGAAGTCACTCAGCAATACCTTCCATTGTACAACCATCTTCCCTAGTGTGCTACTTGAAACACTGCATAGCAATGCTACACGTATCTTTATCTTGCTTGTAGCTACACCTAAGTGAGTTAACATCTAGCATTTACTTAGAGAACATTGGCTTCTTTGGAGACAAATCTCAATAAAGTCCTCAACAATTAGTATAGCTAAACCATGGCTACATTTGGCAATGTACCAGTAACACACAGTGACAGGAAAAGTCAATATATTGATAGCTTGCTGCCATTCTATGGATGTATCAAATATCAACATACATTCACCGTCTAACATAGACAAATGTGTTGATTCTGACAAAGCCACTATTCCTAGCCACTATTTCCTAAACCAAATCTGTATAATATTTGCATGGAGCTATTAAAAAAGTATAGAAAAGCACAGTCAGAAATATTTTTTTCAGTCTGCAGTAGAAGCAAATATCTTACCACTCTGGCTTTTGTAATAAATGATTTTGATGGTTTCCTGTTTCTCAGCAGATTTTTAAATAACGTTTTGCATGAAAGGCCTTAAAATAAATGTTGACAAGAAGAACGGAGAAGAATGTTATCAGATATCACCATATAATGATCAGTGACTTAGCACAGCAAAAACATTCTGGAGAACCCTGATTTGAAAGGTGGCATGTAGATTATCAGTTATCTTCATTTGCATCAGAGGCTTTCTCCTATGGCAATCTAAATGCTGTATAAGTGTTTACCTCGGTAAGAGATGGAGAGGAATATTTTCTAGTCTATCAATTAAAGTGGTACTGACCCAGATACATATTATAAAATTAATACTAAGGAGGGTAAGATTATACACATATCTGTGCACTTCTTAAATGTTATATCCTATTTCAGGAACTTACAAACAGAACAAGATCGTAAAAGCTCCCTATGAGGAGGAATTAAAACATTCAAGATTTTAAAATGCATCAGGATAAAGTTCACATCTTTTAATCCAGTGATCAGAAAGCAGTCCATAAGATATAAACAGATGACAAACACATAAGCAGTATGTATAAGTAAGCATTTCATTTATCCTCTCCAAATCAACAAATGCTCATTTTAGTTAATATAATGCAACAGATGAAAAGGAATCCCAAAGAATGTACCACAACGTCGTAACTCACATTTCACCATAGAGCTTCCGGCTGCATAGCAGCCACAGTGCTTTCAACCGAAGCATCCTTACCAAGACAGCTTAAGTAATACAAACATGTACCGATGTATGTAAACACAAAAGTGTGTCCCTGAACGCATGCACAAATGCATGGAGCAAGTAACTACTCGACAGCAAAAGGAAAGTGCCGGACACCCATTCTTTCGGGACACGTGAAATAAATGAGCCTGTTCATGCAAACTCTAGTCCATCCCTGGATGGGATGAATGTCCACAGCACCGGCCGCAGGTGTAAAGGAGGGACACGTGGAGAGAAGCACCAGAGTTCCTCCGGGCCCCGGCAACGTGTAGAGGCTCAACTACAAACCCCGAGGGGGCCGAGGAGCCGGCGGCCGCGTTAACAGACCCAGCAGCGCGGGCCGGAGGCGGAAAGCGAGGCCCGATCCGACCAGCGGCAACAGGCGCCGAGGCCATCCGCCACCTGCTCCCGTGCCCCGAGACCCGCCGCCGAGGGGCCCGCCAGACGCGGCTTGCGTCTCAGCCCCGCTGCCGCGCTGCGCAGCCGAGCGAACGCCGGCCGCACCCGCGGCGGGCCGGGGAAAGCGGCGAGCCCTGCGGGGGGCGCCCGCTCCTGAGGTAACTTCGCAGGGGGGTACGAGCAGGGAGGGAAGGGTGCTGCCACGGCCCGCCGCCGGCCTACCTGCGCATAGTGGGGTTTCCTGAGCCAGGCCCCCGGGAAGAGCCGCCTCGCCATGGCAATCACACATCCCCGCAGCGGGCGGCGATCGGAGGCGGAGCGGTGAGGAGCGCTTCCCCGCCTGCCGCTGCAGCCGCCGGCTCGGCTCCGCTCGGCTCGGCACGGCACGGCACGGCACACGCGCGGCAGCGGCGAGGGAAGAAGGGGCGAGTGCGCCGGCCCTCGGGCACGGGGGGCCCGCGCTCTCTCCAGTATCAGCGGGCGCCAAACTACAGCAGCTGTCAGCGGGCAAAAAGGGCGGGCAGTGGCCGCCCCAGCCGGGTGAAAGCCCGCCCGCGCCCCCAGCCGCGGCTCCAGGGGAGGGCTGCAGCCGCGAGGGACTGAGGCGGGATGAGGGGAGACTCCGCCTTCTCCCCTCAGCCGCGTCGAGGTAGTGGGGCTATGCTTGTCCCTTTCCTGCTCTCGGGCCATGAGGGGTAGGAGTGGGGCTTCTCGAGCCAAGAGCCATCCTCGAGGTGCCCTTGGCGCTCAGGTCTGCCTGAAAGTGGTCGGGACCGGTCTGGGGACAATTATGAAGAAGTCAGTTAATAAATAACGTGTCTCATTGATTGGGAACAGGCTCCTGTCATTTACTGGACAGGGTATTAAAACCAGCTGTGGGCCTGTACAGTCCAAAGCCCCTTATTTCCTCCAAAATAAGGAGAGAGTTTGTTTGGGCCCATATTAACAGAGATGAGGGATATAAAGCTCGTAAAGTAGTGAAAAAATAACTAATTGCTCCTTCAGCAGTGGGTATCTCAACAGTTCACACAGTGTGAGAAGTCCCAGACCAACTGAAGTTAGTGGGAGCACTGCTAACGTAAGTTTGGTTTTTGTTCTGCCTTCTTATCATTACGACTTGATGGTGACTTCTTTTAATGCAGTGTTAGCAGAGTCAAAGTCAGTGCTGGGAGTCTGCTGTTCAGATGCTTTTTGGCGGCAAGGCTTTAGGCCAAAAGATTATGCCACGGTGTAGGGTTAAAAGTAATGAGGAGATTAATGTAGCATGTTACGGCTTTTTTGTTCAGTATGCTTACCAAAGAAGGCTGCTTTGATGAAAAGACAGGTCACAAAAATATTACTGTAAGGATAAATTACTTGTTTTTGGCAGGGCTTACTCTAAAGGAAAGATGTGTATCTGGAAACCAAATGTGAGGAGTTCACAAAGTATTACAGCTCTAGCTCTGCAGAATGCAAAGACACTTGTGCTTTAAGATTCAAGACCAGTCTGCGACTGCTTTTTGAATAATACAATCTCTGCCAGAGTCACTCTGAAATATAAATCTGAAAATTAATTAGTAAGATTTAGCACTCCTGTAAAAGCAATGCTGGTTTCAATAACAGCCAGCAACTCCCACAGTAAGGGTGTTCTGTTCCTATTCAGGCAGGCCCTGATGGCCATGCTTTCTGCATCACCTCCCTCTACAGCTGACTGGTTTGTACAAGTTCAGCTAGATTACAGGCTTGCAACAGAACGGCAACACAGAGGACACCATAAAGCAAACATTAAAACATTTTGCTGAATAACCTCAAGCCATTACTTCATCCAGTGCTCTATGCCAACCCTTGGAATGACAGGCTGGCAGTAAGTGGGAAATGCAGGTCTCCCATATGGCTGGCAAGGATCTAAATGTTTCATTCCTGTTATGTCTGGATCTGAACAGTTCTTGGCACATGTTCATTAGGGGATATATTTTTCACTTAGTATATGAGATCTTTGTCATATGTGAGAGCAGGTGCTTTATTCCAGCTCTGAAGTGTTCTTCTTCAAGTACTCCTTGTTCCCAGCTTTGCTAAATGCTAAAAGGTAAGGGATTTCAGCTGCTTTCGCCTACCTGTTAAAGACAGAATTCCCAGTTAAGTCTCAGTAGAGGTAACTCCCAGGAAAAGCTAGGCCACGTAAGCCAGAACAGAAACAGAAAAGGTGTAACATGCACTGACTTTGCATTCAGTGGGTGTGCAAAACCAAAGTAATATTCTAAAGACCAGGGGGAAGATACATAAAAGCAGCAGAGATAGAACATAAATCATATTGATATGTTATTTACTGTATAGCCTTTCCATTCTGCAGTTCACACATTATCCATTTTTGTGTGCCAGTGTCAAAACTTTGGTATATCTTAATGCCTAAGCAGTAAAAGTTAAGCTGATTTATTGCTACATGTTAATATTCAGGTTTCCTACCCAGCTATATCAACATCGAGTGTTGTTATTCTAGTGATACAGGGTTTGTGTAGAAGATAGAAATCAGCTCCTGATTATACAAGTGCAGTGTTTGTCACTCAAAGTGTCAGAAGATTAATGTGGTTTTATAATACCTTCTTACCTTCCCATTCAGTTCTGTGGCAACCTGGAAGAGTGGTTACATGTGTTAAAGCATCCAGAAATACTAGACATACAGTGAATGAAAATATGAGACTAATGAGGAGAATGGAAAACTACACAGCATAATCTGAATTATTCAAGATACTCAATATAATATGCACCTTGAAAAGAAATAATTTTATCCAATTTGTTTTGAAGGGAAGTCTGTGTTACTTGAGCAAGTAATACAGGTTTTAACATTAAACAAGATCTAAATATTAACTTACTGCAACGGTGCTAGACTTGCTTCTGACATGGTTATTTGAAGCAGCTGCACCCACATACTGATTTAACTATAATACAGTAATAAAAGACTCCATGGGAAATCCTCAGCATTCACACACTCTCCCCACCATTGTATTCTATCCATTGATCATCTTACTAATGTTAAGAATCACAGAACTTCTGATGTTCTCATCATTGTCTTCAATCACAAGTCTTCTCTTTCTCACAAGAGCTTTACCAACTTCCAGTCTTCCTAGCATGGCTTCTTGGATTAGTGCTCTTATACTATGAATATGCCTAAGAAATAGTCTGATCATGGGCAGTACCAGTAGGAATGGAATGCCTTAGTATTTGCCAGTTGCCTGGGGTTTTATTTACTTTTAATACGTGTATTTACACAATATACAATATGAAAATGATTTACAACAAAACCACCTACATTTCCTAAAATAAAGTCTACAAGAATTTAAAGGTTCATATTACTCATCTATCAAGGTACTTGCTCAGAGATCTGTCTGGGAGTCTGTTTTTATACAGACTCTATTTCCCAAGTCCTTTCTACAGGCCTAAGCCTGTCTTTGTGGAAGAGAATGAAGATTTGGGGACATGTCCAGCCTTTACATACCTAAACTTTCCCTCATATTGCCTTCAGAGTAAGATTCCATTGCCTTCCTCCTGTGCTAATTTCTGTGAACTCTGATTTAATCAGTGTGTTAATTTTAATTTTATCCTAATCGATTATTTCCTATCACATTCAAATTCTTACAAATGCTAATGCTTCTAGGGCATGGACGGATGGAACCATCTCTTACCCAGAAAGCAGACAAAAGCCTGTTAAGGACTCCCGTGTGGCTTAACTTGTTGTAAACAAATCATTAATCTATTTGAGGAAACAGACTCTTCCAGCCAGCAAGTTTCATTTTTAAGGCTGTGTTTACATGGTCACTTCAATCTCGCATGAATCCACCCTGCTGCAGAAGCAGACGGTGTCACCTTTTCTTGCTGTTGGTGCCTACCTTCTCCTTTGGGTTGGCGCAACTGTTTCTGTTGTTGTATAAAGAGCTAGATTAATGTTCTGAAGTAAAAAATAATCTTTATTCTTTTTTACTCTGAGTTCAGTTAAGAGTCAATCCAATTCTCTTCATCAGTGGCTTCGATTTATGCCAGAATAAAGTGTCTGTCTGTACTTAAACTTTTATTTAAACATATCTATATCAAAAATCATGTTTTAATACAGTCAGATGAATGACACAAATGTATGTGACTCATAGCTCTTCACTGAGATTAGATCCAAATTAACTAGCATCTCTCAATGTTTGATAATACTTGGGGGTACAAGTCTTTGATTTGTGAGATATTGTGTCTCTCAAAGCAGAAAATGTCTACTGTTTTTTTCTGGTATATTATTTAAAATTCAAAATGTACCAGAAAACATTACAGTTAACAGCTCTTAGTAAATAGGTTTTCATAAATTAGTGATAGAAAGCTTTATATATATATAAAAGTCCTTTTATATTAGAGAACTGGGAAAACTCCAGAAATGCTCTACTCAGAAGAAAAGCTTTGAAGGTCATTACCTCATTAATGATCAGTCGAAAGCAGATGCTAAACAACAGTTTGCATTTGTATTCTCATTGCTTCAAAGTCCACAAAGACAACACAGTTCAGATTCAATCCACTGATAAAATTACGTTTCCTTTGTATGTATTTGTCCTTTCAAGTCTAATTCCTCTATTAATTGCTGGAGATGGGAGGTTCAAGAGTGTTACCCAAGGATTAATTGAGGTTATATGTTAAAGTGCAAGGTCGAGCTACCACTGCTAGCATTAATCTATTTCTCATTTGACGATAATTTTATCATTTTCAGACAACTTATTGTTGTCTAATGATACTTAAAATGTACCCGTTTAAAAAAAGGTCTATAATTAGAGTCTTAATTCCTATTTATGGACTTTCCCACAAAGATAAATAGTTTAGCTGGCATTTTCTTAATGCCCTCCTGGCATTTTCCAAAACTTCTTACCCTGAATTAGCACTTCCATATTCCTCTGTACTTCAGAAGGTAGCCTAGACAGCCAGGAAACATCCAAGTTCTAGCCCACACTCTTTCAAAAATCCTACTTAGGTTCTAAGTACTGGATTCCAGTACTGAAGCTAGTAGATGCTGACATAAGAGGGTCAATGATGAGAAGGAGATGTCAGCAGAAATCAGTTTAGAAGGAAGATGTTAATTTTTAACTCCTAAGGAAGGTTAGTATTGGAGCACCTCCCGTATGAAGACAGGCTGAAAAAGTCGGGGCTGTTCAGCCTGGAGAAGAGAAGGCTGCGTGGAGACCTCATAGCAGCCTTCCAGTATTTGAAGGGGGCCTATAGGGATGCTGGGGAGGGACTCTTCATTAGGGACTGTAGTGGTAGGACAAGGGGTAACGGATTAAAACTTAAACAGGGGAGGCTTAGATTGGATATAAGGAGGAAATTCTTTCCTGTTAGGGTGGTGAGGCACTGGAATAGGTTGCCCAGGGAGGTTGTGAATGCTCCATCCCTGGCAGTGTTCAAGACCAGGTTGGACAAGGCCTTGGTGACATGGTTTAGTGTGAGGTGTCCCTGCCCATGGCAGGGGGGTTAGAAATAGATGATCTAAAGGTCCTTTCCAACCCTAGCTACTCTGTGATTAACTCGCCTAGCAGGGTAGTGGCCTTTTTCAACACGTGGTGTACTTAATGAAGATCTCTGACTTAAGCACAGTAAGCAAAGCAGCTGCAATGGTTTAGTACATTGCTACTCCCAGCTATCCTGCCATCCCTTCTGCTGGAGGACATTCCACATCAGAACTGTTTCAGTTCACAGTCAAGCCTATTTGCTTTAATTGCCTATGGACATCAGTTCATACTAAAATGCTAGACTATGAACCTCAGCTAGTGAGGTACAGATGGACCCTGTCTTCTGCCAGTGATGGTATGGAGGAGAAAAATGGGCAGAAGAGCAACTACGTATCACAGAGCTCCTATGTGAAACCCTTTCTTCTCTTGGCCTCCACTACACATACCTACTCCCATGCTGTTCTTTCTTTTCTGCCATGCAACTGTTCGTGTAGCTGAATGGTGAATCGTTTGCTGAACCCAAATTAAAAATAGCCCAGAAAAAGCAAAAAGCCATGTTGGTTCTCTGGTTTGATTCTGTATGCCACTGTGGACTGTCATACTCAGAAATGCAAGAATAGACTGGCATTTGGAAGAAGCATCAGAAACAGGAACTGCTTAAAATGGGGTAAGAAGAAAAGCTCTTCAAATCTGCCCTAAAACTAATGGCTCCTTCAAATATATACTCCAGCACAGTGATTTGTTGGGCAGAGTAAATGAATCATTGTGTTATGTAGGAATCTGAACTGAACTAATCATTTCTTTAGGCCTTAAATCATACATAAGCAAATCTGTTTCAGTTTGCAGGCTTTGATGAAGCTGAGAATCTGGCCCTGTACGCAAGAATTAGTACCATGTATCGGCATGCCTTATCAAACCGTCTTTATGATGATATTGGCAAAAATTTCTCAAATCATAACTCTTCTGCTTGTTCTGCTACATTCAAAACCTCTATACATGAGATGCAGCAGTTTTGTACTGAATTGTTAGAGGATTCTGACAGCACCCTGGGAAAGCAGTAACAATGTGCAGAACTCTTTAGGAAATCTCCAGTTGTAAGGATTCTAAATTTATTAGTCTACATCCTTTTTTCTCTTTGCTATTATCTTAGTAAAGTTGGTAATTCTGAGATAACTTGTAGTACATTAACTTTTATAAAAACTTATCACCCATTATGAAGGAAGCAGCAATGTATTGCTTAAATTCCAGGCTGTTAAGTAACTATATGTACAGTTGATGTACTTAAGTATTCACCATGTTTTTTTCTGGATAAACCAGTTTTCACTTCCCTTTCTATAAACAACAAAACAGTCAGCTAGTCAAATATATTCCTGGCACAAGGCAGATGTCTTTTTCGATCCCTAGAGTAGGCAGTGTATTGATTGTATATTAATTAATTCCTGTAGCCTACTATCTAGAAAGTACTGTGGGATTGTTGATAGAAAATACCCTAACAGGCATAAGGTATTAATTATTTTAGATTTGTCAACATCTGAATTTCTGCAGCAATCACACTGTTAACAGAATTACTAGAATAAAGTAACTCTTTTACACTTAGAATGATTGTTCTTAGAAGTAAAAATGCTGTTTTAAGCAAAGTATTTGTTATTATTATTATAAAATAATCAATAAAATTAGAGTTTCTTTTTATTCCAGATTGTGATGAAGTTTACAGCACAGCTGGACAAAGTTTTTGCCTGCACTAATGCTGTGTTGAAAGCACTGGAGAAAGAGGTTGTAGTAGGAACTTTTTCAACCAGCCCAACTGATACAGAAAATGCATCACAGAATCATAGAATCGTTTAGGTTGGAAAAGACCTTTAAGGTCAAGTCCAACTGTTAACCATGGAACTGCAACTAAAGTTATTTTATTTGATGATAAAGTATAAGAACAGAGGCCTCAAAGATGTATTTTAAGATTGGTCTGTATGAATCTGCATCAGAAATCATGCTATTTGATTCCTTGTCTTTCTTTTAAAAGAAACTTAGTCTGCATTTCATATACTATTATTAAAAATAGCTATAACTTGTTTAATTGTATAAAGAATAAACTGTTGCAGTTAATAAAAGTACTTATTAGCTCAGAGGAAACACACTGAAAAGATATCTTTTGTGACAAACTAAATATATTCAGTGCTGTTATGGTGAACAGTGCAACCGTTGTGCTGTTATAGTGAACAGTGCTACTGCTGTGCATGCCCTCAGTTCTCATTGTACATAGGCTCACAGCTCTTTCCAAACAGAGCACTCAGATGACACCACCATCACACCAAGACAGGAGCTGTAGCAGATACAGCATTTTCTGTTGACTGAGCTGGGAATAAAACCCTTTGTAGATCTTTTATATTACAAAGTAGCTGCACAAAAGGAGATTTAATCCTCACCACCTGCACTTCCAACCCACAAAACCAATTTGGCTTTGGAATTTGGGAGCATACCTGCAAAAGAAGTTAGTAGTGGGTGAGGTAAACCAATCAGTTCTCTGAAGACAAAAGAGTCTTTGTTAGAGTTTTACACCTCTAACAAGGGTTAACTGGGTAGCTGGTCAATGCAGTCATTGTATTTGACACAGGTAGTGTGATTTGAAAGTATTTCAGATGACTATAGAAATTTATTTTCTATTTTGTCTAGATAAGAACAAAATACCTTGTTACAGTTTAAGTCAACTTTGATGTGAGATTTGCAGCGGTTTCAATCGACTTATTTTGTGATTGCCTCTTTATAAACAAACTTACTTTGTGCTGACATCCAAACTGAGCTCCTTTTTCCTATGTTTTATCCCAGCTTCTTGTTCACTTCCTGCAACTGTCCACACAAAACCCCTTCTGTACGGTGTTGTTTGAATGTGGACTCATTTACACAACTGAGGATATAGGTTTATGCCCATTTTTACTTCAGTTCAAATTCCTACCACAACTATTGCTCCCCATCAGAAACTGATGGCTACAGTTTATTATAATTTAAAATCAGACCAAAGTGGAAACCGCACAACTTTTCTATTGCCTTTTTTTTCATCCCTCTTTCCAGCCATCATGTATGATTCAAAGTTCATTCTAAACAGAAGAAAAACATATTCAAACAGTGATTAATTCACATTAAATTTGCTGGTTTGGTTTTAAAGTATTTTTAAATAAAAAGGAAGAATGTTTTATTTCACCACAGGCTATCCACTGATAATTAAATCACACTGGTAATCTGATACAGCGTTACATCTTTACTAGTATGATAGCACAGTCACAGACATTTTACATCCTAGAACCTGCAGTAAATTAAGAAGTCCTTGGAGGCCATCACTGCTTGACCTCTTGGTCTGCTGAATTCCAGGCAGGTCAAAAGAAAACCAGTTCTGCTTTTAGCAATCACCTGCATGCTAGAGCAGTGCCTTGTTAATGCTTGCCTGCATTTCTTCCTCTCCGTGACATTTCTAGGATCATTCCTACCTGAGAAATCTGAGGCAATTGGTAAAGGTCCTGGGAGAAGTAAACTGACAACAGGCTGTTGTAATTTGAAGGAGAATTAGGATACAGCAAACTGGCTTCTGAATTAAGTAATTCTCACACATACTTAGTATGCTTTCCCTTTGTGCATTGTCTTCCTAAATTTATCTTGTCTCAGCTTTTCAGGGTGTTTTCATATAGGCATGCCCTTTGAATGTGATCTTTCTTGTCCTGAACTTGTCTTGCTATCCACTTATGGAAGGTCGGGGTATTCCCCTTTGCATTCCTCATGGGCAGGAGGATGGACTTTCATTTTTCTCTAATGGAGAACAGCAGAGCCATCAGGACTTCTGTGCCATTGGGACCTCTGGGCCATCAGTGTTGCCCAGGTTAGGAAAGCATGTGGTCCTCAATTCCAGTCAGGCTGAGGCCATCACATGACACTTCTCAGTATCAGTGAATTCACAGGACTTCTTAGTAGGCATGCCTGGCCAACTTCTCCTTTCCTGATTCAAGAAGCAGCTAATTTGTCCCATCATCAGAAATACTTCAGTTGTCACTTCATGAGCTGTCCACGCCCATGGAACATGCATTTGGCCATCTGAAAGAGAGATGGCAGCCCATGAGGTCGAACCAAAGGTCAGTTTGTGTTTCCCTGTTGGCTTGTTGTAGATGTTTCATTCTGCAACTGGAACAGAGGAAGAAATAGCTATTTTCTATATGAATACTTTTATTGCCCCTTCTGCTACCTTGGTTCTGTGCTTCCTCCTCAATGCACACGTACGGTGAGCTTCTAGACTCAAAGTTACTGCAAGGCTGATCTGGATGAAAACAAACCCATTTTTATATGTAAATATATGTATTATTTATACATACATGCATGAATGTTTTTCAGCTGGAGCAGTTCACTGATCGGCCACATCTGCATGCCTCCTGGAATAGGGGACAGCCATCACCAGGACCTCAGCAGCCCCCTGAGCTGCAGTGAGTGCAACATCAGATGACAGCAGCTGCTAGACAAGTTTGGCTGGGTCAGGAATCTGTACCCTCATCTGCAACTGCAGAGAAAACCCCTTCACTGGGATTCACCTCACCAGTCCCTCCTTCGGTCCAGGCCTCCGTACCAGTGCTGTGGGGTGAGTTTATACTACTTAGAGCTATCACGCAGGTCACTATAACATGAGAGGAGCACCCAAGTGGGCTCAAGGGGAGCCCTGGCAGCACGCTGGGAGGGAAGCAGTGGGACTGCCAGCCCCTAGCTCACATTAGCTGCTTTGCAGAATGCATGCTTCCACTGGCTGCAACGCCAGGGCAGTGCTGCTGGCTGTGTGCATGTGCCACGTTTCCCCACTTCTCCCAAACCCATCTTTAAGTTTAGCTGGCTGGTAACTACACGCATGCTGTGACAGCTTCAAATTGTACTATGTTCACTACATTAACCTAGTGGAAATACAGTTCTTCTGTGTTGATAAGACCATTTTTTCCTACTATTTTATTGATACATTCTAAGAATTTCACTAGCTTACCGAGGCACAGCCTGGCTTACAGTATGCTTTTGCTGCTATTGCAAGTGAACAGAGTGTTGTGTTGGTTTTACACTAATATTTAACTAATGTTTTTTGATGATCACAAAAACACATAGCATGGAAAAAAAACAAACTTTGTCTGTCCTGGAAGCCCCAGATTTTAGGGACAGGGTCAGGACTGTATAGATGAAGATGCCAGTGCCCAGTGTGAAGGATGTCAAAACAGAACACGAATGACTGATGTAATAAGCATTGATTTGTATCCTGTTTCTGTATCATCTTCTTAGCTGAATGCAGATAAGCAACACTGTCAGAACAGAATCTGGGCTTTCAGGCTGAGATAACATGGCTTCAAAGTGGAAGGATCAAAATATATGTCAGATAATAGCTAGTACATTTGGATTAGCCACAACAATGACATTCAGACTGCACCTTTTATTTAAGCCTATCAAAGTTAGCAAATGTAACAGTATTACTATTTAGTAAGTGGGAACATGGATTATGGAACTGATGACTTGGCTGAGCATCAGCCTGGGACCATTTATGGTTCTTTCTGTGCAGCCCTCTTGGACTGGCAGCAGCTACAGAAGGGGCTATGCTGTATCGTCAACCCTGCAGCTGAATTCACCCTGCAAACAGTGGTAAGTGCTAATAGGATCCTGTCATGCTGCACTGTTCAGATGTATTTTGTCTCCATCAGAGATGCTATTAGGAAGAAACAAGTGAAAAAAAAAATAAGAGAAGCAAGGGACTTTCCATCTTACTGGGTCTTGGCAGGTCAGCTGAAGGCTTGTGAGAAGGCCCATACTGCATTTCAGGTGGTGGAAGAACAGAAAGAATGCTGTACTAATTCTCCCTCCAGCCAGACTGATGTCCAGAACAGATTTTTCACCGCAGTTCAAACAGCAATGTTCTGCCAGGTATCTGTGTCCTGAGGGGCTGTTAAACATTTTTTCACCTCAGTTTAGAGTTAAATCTTGTCTGTACTGCTACAAAATTTAACCACACAGGGGCTGGAAACTCTGTTTTAGCAGACATTTTCAGAGTTCACAAAGGAGCATAGATGCTGATGGACAAAACCTTGCCATAAAACTGTATGATGCCACAGTCTTCAAGAAGATATGATATGACCCATCATGCTGTAAAATAGTTCAGACTGCAATTAGTTTTGCTAATGCATAGAACAGAGCTAAAGCGAATGAATAAAATGCTTGCTTAGGCTTTAATTCTGAAATGCTGACTATGCATTTTTACTTTGGTCACTAGGGCTTCAGTAACTCCTTTTGGATTTGTGCATAGAGAGCAGGAGAAGGAATGCATCGCATCAGTGCACGAGTGAATTCTCAGGGAGTCTAGGAACCGGGATCTCTGTCTGATCCAGGCAGTTAACCAAAATGTAAGTCTTGTCAGCTATTTGTTTTCTGAAAGAAGGTGGTTATATGACTGAGGCAGCAGAATTGACAGTGCAGAGAGAGTAGTAAACCTCTCTCAAATTCCAACTCTGAGTAGTGAGCTCATATTTTTATGTACTGGTCTCACAAGAAAAAGACAGGAAGAAAGATTACGCAGGACTAGGCTTGCATACCTTCACAAAATTCCCACTAGCTAGAATAGTAATAAGCTGAAGTTCTCACATAGCTATTTTCCAGAGTTAAAATAAATGCTCATAAGTCTTCAATACAGCAAAGACAGTATTGCCAGTAAGAACACAATAGCTCACACATAAGCACCCTCAGCAAGGACAAAACTAGTCAAGCACTTTTTTCCCCTTTGGACTTCACTCACTGTGTTCAGGTACAAAAAAAGCATTAGTGTCACTGAGACAGATGCGAGACATACTCTCCCACAAGAAAAGCCTTTCCCACTCTTCAGCTAGCATACGCAAAGATGTAGTCAAGAATGTAGAAACACTGTCTCAAGCTCTATTTCAGTCCTTGACTATCTCAGTCTATTATGAGTTTTGTGTCTTTCCACTCTTACACACAGGTGAACTGGGGGATTGCTTCTTGCACTGCCAGGAAACAGCTCTCACCCATGGCAGGGTATGAACTGCGAATCAGCAATAACAAAGGTCTTGTATTAGACTTAGATGAACACTTAATAGTTTGTTAAGTACTTTGAATTGGGAACTATAGAACACCTGAAGAACCATCTATCCACCTACCAAAGTCCACCCAGTCATGCACAGTCCTGATATGATTTACGAGTAATTTCAGAAAGGTTACACATCTGAAATAAAATGTTACGTGAATCTAGTAGTAAGGACTTTCTAAGCTGCAGCTTCTTGACATTTTTTCAAGCATCTGAAGTGTCTTTTATTAGATGCAGAGCTAACACCCAGAGTTGTTTGTTTTTTTCCCTTTTTAAGAGTCTTTGAGTAATAGTGTCAGGGAAGGATTTAAAGTTAGATTACCAAATGTTACTTTTTAGAAGGTAAGTAACCTTCTAATGTATTTCAAGTTTAAATGTAGCCTAGTTCAAAGGCTAATAAAGATTGTGATATAAACAGATCAAATCCTAACACACAGAGTAACTGCTGTTTAATTCATGTGTTGCAGAAGTGCTTTAGAGACTTAATCAAAAATAGGACTGCAATACTCTCATAATATCCTATCTTTAAAAGTTACAAGCAGTAGATTGTTAAATATAAAGGAGATAAAAATGAAGAAATAATTGGTTAGGATTAGGGGGCAAATAGGTTGTATTTATACATTGACTTTAACAGAAAAAAACAGTATTTGACTGGCTAAATTGGATCAACAATAACCATGACAGTGAACACGTTTAAAAGGATATTTTTAGTTTAAGATTTATCAAGCAAGATCTTGACATTCATAAGAAAATGATGGAATTTGGGACCTTTTTGTCCCAGGATTTCCTTGTTTTTATCTCTGAGAAGATAAAAAAGTTGGGAATGACAAAGTGCTTGTACTAGGAAAAAAATATTTCTGTGTGAAGACCCATATTAGCGTACCTTACAGCCAGTAATATTATTTTCCTCTGTACCGTTGATACAAGGATGGAAAATTATTCATATTCTTGTCTATCTAGAAAAATATTTAAAGATGCCTGTTTTTAAATGTTTTCAGTGCTGGTTTTATATCTTTAGTATATACAGTAATTGCTGTGATTTATAACAATTATTAGCTAGTTGTAATACAATAGAAAATTCATTGCATGTCAGAACATCACTTGCCTATTTTTTAGATGTTGAAATAGATTCTTTCCTGAGTTGAGCCATAATAAATGCAGCATATGTGCATTGTATCACTAATTACCATGTTTACGTAAAGCTAGATGTACCATATTTATCTTGATTTAAGATAGGAAGATCCCAGGTGACCTTCCTTGCTGTTCCCATGCTTAAACAATGCACAGAAAATGGCCTGGGATCTAATTTTCCCTCCTTCCCGAATTGTGGTCATGACAACCATCTGTACAAAGATAAGCTTTACAATATTGTCTTGTTCAGGGGTATCATTTTGACATTATGTGATATTGTGTGATACAGTAAGCTGATGGAAAATAATACTGTGCAGCAGTTGGTGCTCTCATCTACATGCACTGGTGAATTTTAGTTGTGGTTTGGGTTGCTTGTTTAATATTTATGTGGCCATTGTGGCAAGGGAAGTATATAAATATAATACCAGCCTTTAAAATGTATGTTAACATTTGCAAGAAGGGGCCCTGGCTAAGAGGCCAGAGCTGCTGCTTCTGACTCTTCAAATTTATCCATCTTTGCTGGGTACAGGGAATTTACATTTTGAATATGAAATTTTAGTTTTCACTGCTGTGCCAGCAAGGCAAGATGCAATTTTAAATAGCCAAGACTTTGCTTTTGCATGTCTTCATGGCAACAGCTTGCTTAACAGTAGGTGGACAAATACAGACAGAGGTAAAGACAATGCCAGGTTGTTATTCGTTATCTCCTCTCTGAAATACAGCTATTTATGAGGTAACATGGAATTAAGCTAAACATATCTGTTATTATTGACATGAGAAAATCCTCGCTGACGCTGGAGGAAAGCTAATTTAATTTGGCTTTAGTCACTCTGTGTCTCAAAGTACATACATAAAATGGCTATAATTGAAAACGTAACAGGAGACACAACTGTATGTTCAAATACTTTTGAGGTATTAGTGGAAAACAGAAAAGAAAGAACGTTCATGCTGAAGTCCTTACATCCAGTCTTGCCATATGTTAACAGCAGAAATAACTGAATGTTTTACTATTACCACAGAATAGAAAGCAGAGAGCGATTCTAGCTTGCTTCAAATCAGATTTATCATAGATGTTTCATAGTACATTAATAGGAACTATGGAAAGAGTGTTTAAATTGTTTGTATTCTATTGCTGTTGATTTCTTTGCCCCACTTTGCTGGTGATTAACTAACAAGGATCCTCCTTCTGCACTAACTACAGGTTTCCTGATTTGAGCACTTTAACTTGCAAACCATTTTTAAAGGATCATTTGCACATTTCCAGTAAGACCCCCAGCCCTGTAATAACTTGGTCAGGTTGGGCAAAGGAACAATGAAAGAGCCTCTTCCAGTGCCCATTCCTCCCAGAGCACAACTTGTTGAACTTGAAGACCTGTGTCTTCATCACTGTCTACATATACCTCAGCTATTTGATTTACTTGGTATAGCAGATGGCTCAGGTGGGTAGGAATTACACAGTCACTGCTGTAGAAGGGGGTTTCCTGTCAGATGGAGATTCGGTGACTGCTAAACTGATTAAAAGAAGGATGCTATAGCCTGAGTTACTAAATTAAGGTAGTGGAAGGCGAGGTGTGTATGTGGGTGGTGTATGGTTTTGAGCTTTTCCAGCTATCGGTAATAGCTGGCCTTAAAGGAGACAGAGTTTGAAATGGTTTTATTTAGTGTTTGGCTATGAGCTGATATTGTACTTCTTGGATATTATGGGAGGAAGATGCTATATGGAACTGAGGTTGTGGGAAAATACCGATAGTCTGCTGATGGTAGTAATAAAGCTAATGGTGACAAGTTTCAAGAGCTACGTTCTGGGTGAACTATCACAATGCCTCTAATAGCAAACTAATCAGTTTATCAAACCCTAATTATTCTTGTATAATGTAGGGATTCCTAGGTTTTTTTCATATGGCCCTCAGATAATGCTATTCCAGCAGCAGCTCCTAGCTTCGTGACAAGTCATGCTTTATGGATAGAATGGGGCTATGCAGCTCTACAGTTCTGCAGTGGGGTAATGCAAGCTGCTTTTGGGAACAGTATCCTAGGGAAAAGGAGGGTAGAAATAGCATGTGTCTTGCTGGTCAGGAGCTTTTGTGTTGGGTTGGCTTGGTGCTGGTGGTGAAACGATTTGCAGTATAGGGGAGTGATTCTACTTTGGCAAGTTTTGACTTAAGTCACTTCAAAGATACACCAGGACAAGACGGCAAGTATGACACTAAAAACATTGTGAAGGAGCCAATTATTGATGTTTAAATGTGTTTATTCTCTTGTTGACTACAAAGTTTGATTTTTAACTTAGCCAAACATTGGTTTGCACACCATGGTTGTCATTAAAAAACTGATTGAGTGTAATTCTTCTGCTGGTGACCCTCTGCCTCTAGCACTAACACAAATACCTGACTGCTGTTCCCAACACGTGACAATCCACAGAGAGTAGCCAGGGGCTTTTGTGTAGTGCAAGTGTGGTTTCACCAGTAGACTAAGATGATTACTGAAGAGTGTCTAGTTAGTGCATCCAGGGGAAAACTGTATCCCCTAAAACCTGTGGAAATTTCCATCATAGATACTGCTTTATTCTGATATAACTAGGAGTTGGCCAGACTAAACCATACTCTGGTGCCTTGCCATCCTTCCTGGGATGGCAAACTGATCCCGCATCTTACTTTCATTGGCTTATTCTGGGGAGATAGATGATTTGGGGAAGTCAGGGAAAACATGAGCAGGACAGAGCCAGGAACTGGGAATTCCACCATCCAGGCCACTAAATCCAGCCTCTCCCCGAGCACTTGGTACACCGGTTGGTGAGATCTGACCCAGTGAGTACTTGTATTTCAGTACTGCACAGGGACCACAGCAGTGCCGAGTAACTTACAGGGTTGGGGTAAGCTTTGTAACCTGTGTGTGGCACTACTGCACCAGGCAACTGCTGCGTTTAACCACGGCGACTGCCATCTGAGAAAATATTCACAAAACCAAGCTCTTCTCAGTGACAGAAAGCAACAACCGTATTTCGCTTAGCTAATACAGCTACTGCTAACAAGAGAAAACGAGGTTTCGCTTGCCCTCAAAAATGGCAGCATGCCCTTGACTCGCTGCAGAACACTGCGTTCCGTTCCACCCGTTACCCTGTGCCCCTTGGCACCAACGAACTGCCCGCAGCAGCCCGTGGTGCCTAGGCCGGGCCTCACCGGTCACCCTGTCATGCAGCCGGACTCCCTTCCTGCCCTCCCCAGACCATTTTAGACGCCGGGGCCACCCCGCATTGCTACGGGGCACCCGAATCACCCCGAACCCGGACAAAACCCCCTACACCGAAAAGCAAAGCACAGCACCCCACTTCACACTGCCGCAACGAGTCCCGGCCGAGGAGCAGGGATCTCTCCTTCGGCAAGCGCGCTGAAAGTAGTCCTTCTTTGTTCATCAGCGGCGAAGGTTCGTCTCCACCAGTGTCCTTCCGCCGCGGCGCCCTCCAGCCCCGCCCCCTGGCCCAGGCGCTGCTGTCGGCGCAGGCGGGGCGCGCTGGGGCGGGGCCGCGGCCCTTTGTGCTCCCAGCATGCACCAGCCTCTCCTCCGCGGGAAACAAAAATGGCGAGCGGCTGCGGTGGAGCCGGGCTGTCCGTGAGGCGGGTCTGACCCCTCCCCCGCCGCCTTGCCGCCGCTGCGTCGTGGGGGCCGCGCTCGGGGGGTCCCGTCGTTCACCCAGGGCCGGGCCGCCCCGGGGGGGAGGCTTCTGAGCTCGGCAGTTTCCCTGTATGAGGCGGTTGGCACCACTGGAGAGACCGAATGAGGTGAGGTGAGGGGGGGCGGGCCGCGGCTGCGGGGGGGTAAGGAGGGAGGAAAGAGTGACGGCCGGGCCTTGCGGGGGGGTGAGGAGAGGAGGGGGGGCCGGGCGCGCCTCATAGTTGAGGCCGCCGGTGCCGCATACCCCTTCTCCTTCGTGGAGGCCGCGCCACCCGTCGGGGAGGGGGTGCGAGGGGCCCAGCTCCGGCGTGGGGGGCCCCGGGGGCCTTTGGGGGTGGGGAGGAAGCTGTCTCTCGGGCGGCCGCTGGCGAGCGATTGAGGGGTCAGCGGTGCCGCTCGGTGACCAAAACAAAGGGAGCGGAGGCTGCCGGCCGGCTGAGGGGGTCCGCGGGGTGCTGCCGCCGTGAGTCACGGCTAGGTTTGCGGCAGCACTAGCTTTATCTTTTCCTTTAAGGCTGTCGTCCAAGCGGGTTGTGTTCGCTCGAGTGCGGAGAGAGCAACACAAAAGAGGTGGTTGGTGGGGGTCGCTGGTAACTTTGTTTTTGTTTTCTCTTTCTTTTTTGTTTGCGCCGTCTCATAGTCTCTGTCAAGCTAGACAGTTCGAAGGTACTCAAGAAGCTTGTATTTTCGGTCTGCTGAAAGGATGTGCAGCAACGCGTTTTCTTTTCTTTGGTATTTGAATTCTGTAGGAATGCAAGAATGGGTTGACACTTTTGTTAGTCAAATGAAATAATACGGTAGTGTGTTTGATCCGGACACTGATATTAGTGTTGAAATTCTAGGGGGTATCACCCATCCGTGAAGTATCTGAGTGCTGTTTAAATGAGGGGGGCCTGAACAATTAAATGAAAGGACCTGCCAGGAGAGCAGTGTGGCATTATGCTTGTTTCTTGGATTTCTGATAGTTAGGACTTGCTCATGGCTTTATAAGGTCAAACTTAGTATTGGATAATAGCATGATTTTTTTCCTGACTTGGTGTAAGGGAAACTGATCTATGCTTTGTACTGAAACTGTCAAAAGCATGGGATAATAGGAAAAAAGTTTTCTTGTTGTGTTTTGTTTTGTTTTTTTTTGTCTGTAACCAGTTTGGTAAAAGGTAGCAAGTTAATGTGCGTCCATTTTTTGAGAGCTCAAATTACAATCCATTTGAAAGCATTTGAGATTAAAAGAATAAAAAAGCTTAGTTCCTATAGTGTTAGAATATAGCCTAAAAGGTTCATAGCTTTTTAATGGAAGGAGAATAAAAGGAAGCAAAGAATCAAAATATGAAAGAAGGTGTATCATAAAGCAGAGAAAGGGAGAATGCTCTTTGCAAGGAGCTATAAGCAGGTGAAATGTGGATCTGTACTGAGAATATAACGTAGTAATGTTTTCAATAGCTGACTTATTTTGTCAGATACAGGTGTGTCTTCTCAACAACTCTGCTTCCCTGCTCTGGAAAGAATTTTAAATCAGATGTCGATCCTTCTCAAAGTTGGCTTAATATGATAAGTCACCAGTTGTTTTTTTTTGGGGGTTTTGTTCCAAATACGTGAAAGAGGCATACGCTGGTAGTTAGTATAGAGGGTGACCTTGGATATGGTAATGTCTCTCCTTTGCTGCGTTAGCAGATCAGGTAAAGCTTGTGAGAAAAATGGCTGTAACAAGTAAGCTGGTGGTCATTTCCTAGTGGAGCGTGAATTTCTGTATTCCCTGGAGACAGATGTGAATGAATATAGTACTAGAAGCACCAGAATGGCCTTAAAGCATGTTTTGTGCTTTTCATGCTAATTGTGGAGGATAAACTTGGAGGGAGGAAACACAAGAGACTAGAAGCTGGTATGAATCTTCCCTTGGTCTGTGAATTGGCTGTACTTTGTGTGTCACTGACTTCTGAGCTAGCTGCAGAGTTAGTTTCACCTTCTTTACAGGCCTTCTCTGCAGGAAATGGAGGGGAAGTGTGTCTTTGAAACACATCAGAAGGATTATAAACCACGGGGATTGCTGGGGGGGGGGTCCTTGGGCAGGGTAATACCTGTTACTGAAGGCACTGAAACTAGTTAAAATACGTGCTTTTAACTATCTTTGTTTCAAGCTGATGCTCTCTTCCTAGGAGGTATAATCTCTGTGGAGGAATGAAATGGTTTAGTTCTCTTTGAGAGAAAGAGCTAATGATGAGAGCATTCCTGATCAGTCTGAACATATTTTGTTCTCTTGGAGGATAATACTGTATTAATTTTCATTTCTTTCTGTGGGATGCTTATAAAGGGTTATATTCTTCTAGACTAGCCTTAAAGAAGGGTGTATTTATGGGGTTTTTATTGCTTATGAAATTGTTTTTCTCCCCCCCCCCCCCCCACTCGGCGAGTCAGCATGTTCTGTTCTTTTTCACCGCTTGGGTGCATGCTCATACTGTTATTACCTTAGGTGTATTGCCCGGCATCCTGTAGTTGGGGTACTGCACAAGCCCAAAAGGTGGTTGCGGTGTTCAAGGAGGTGCTAAGTATGCACTTAAGGTAGTCTCTTGTCCTCCTGCCATGCAGTACTGCGAAGAGGCTAACTACATTTCACAGGAGCCTCCTCTCACAGGGCAAGTGCTTCAGTCCCCGACTGTTTTGGTAGCCCTCTACCAAGCTCATCTAGTTCGATGTCTTCCTTGCAGCTGGCAGAACCAAACCACAGTATTCTAGATACTGTCTAATGAGTTTTGTGTAGAAGGAAACAATTGCTTCCCCTCAGTCTTCGAGCTAAAGTTCTTTCTAATGTGCAGCAAATTTATAGACCTAACTGCTGATCAGCTGAATGGGCTGCAGGGGCTCAGTTAGTTCTTATTACCACTTGTTTTAGAAGCAAAATTTGCTACTTCTTTCAGCTAATGTGGTGGATATACTTGTGAAAGCATACAGCTGCTTAAGAAACACATTAATGAAAACATATTCTCTGACTACTAGAGAGTTCTTTAAAGTGTTTAACTAGACAGAAGAGTTCAGAAGAAAAATCACAGACACAATGTAAGGCTCTTTCAAAGGCTTAAAAAAAAAGATACCAACAAGCACTCTATTTGAGTAGTAATGCGTTGCATGAAAATCATGGTTGTGTTGGGTAGTATGGTTGACTTGGTAGAGCTGAGAAGTGTAAACAAGCTACATCTTGCTGACAAGGAGTAGCTTATACAGAGTGGTTGCCATGAGATCATTGGTAGGACAGAGTTTTTCTGCCTTAGGTGATTTTTTCAAGTTCTGTCAATGATGGATTTGTTAAGCACTTAAATGGCGTGTAAATTAGCTTGTTGAACATCTTTAAACAAAGATGTGAACTTGGGGCCCATAGGAAGAGACGGGTTGCTTCCAAGAGCACCAGAATAACAGTGTGATGTTCTCATGAGTCTGTTCTTTACCATCCTAGGTTGTGGAGAACAGGGGTAATCTCTAATGATTAGAGAATGGCAAATGTTATACCTATATTCAGAAATGGCCAGAAGTTCAACCCAGGGAACCACAGGCTTGTTAGGCTCATGTTGGTCTGTAGTACAGTTGTGGAATAGGTCTTCCTGGGAGATGTCAGCATATTCGAAGAATAAATCGTGGCCTGACCACCTTTGGTGTTAAAAATGGCAGGGTTTGTGGACTGGGGAGGAGAGGAGTGCATGCCACTCAGCTCCAGCAAGGCTGAAGGAAGTGGCTGATAAGAACCTCATGAAATTAAAGATATGAAAGGGAAGTCCTGCATCTGAAGGAAGAATCTCAGGCTAAGTTTGGCTGGGGGTCAGCTTTGCAAGGTTGGCTGGGGTCTGGTAGACAGACAGCAAGAACATGAGCCAACATTGTGTCCTGTGAGCAAAGGCAAGTTGTATCCTGGGCTGTATTAATAGGAACAGAACCAGAAGGCTGAGGGGAAGTAATTGTTTCCTTCTACACAGAACTCATTAGACAGTATCTAGAATACTATGGTTTGATTCTGCCAGTGGAAGGAAGACAAAAAACTAGATGAGCTTGGTGGAGGGCCACCAAAACAGTCAGGGACTGGAGCACTTCTGTGAGAGGAGGCCAAGGGAACCAGGTTCATTCAGCCTGGAGAATAAGGGCCTAACTGAAGCCTTCCAGCTCCTGTGAGATGCAGTTAGTCTCTTCACAGTACTGCAATACTGCATGGCAGGAGGACAAGAGATAACACACATGTTGAAATAAGAGAGATTCTGATGGGAGTGGGGGGAGGAGATGGGTTTTCTTATTTTATCCCCACCGCACCCCGGACAGTTCAGCAGAGGAAGAGGAGCCCAGGGTGTGTGGCCTCTGTTGCTGGAGGCTTTCAGGGCTGACTGGATAAAGCCACCTTGTCTGGCCTCATGGCTGATGCTGTGCTGAGCAGGACTACAGAACTCCTGATATCCTTTCTAACCTGAATTATTATCTCTAAAAAAAAATGTAGAAATTAGATGATCTTGAAAATATATTTCTTGTCATCCAGCCATTACTCTTGGCTTTTCTAGACTGAGGGATGCCTAGGTTAGCATCCCTTTATCCTTTTTCTGTGTATTTGGTAATGTGCCTTAGGCTTTTGATGACACCAGCATACAAAATAGTGTAAAGATAATGAGCTCAAAGCTTCTAGATGTTCCATGACATAGCACCTTGGAAGCTTAATATTAATTGGGCTGCATGAAGTAGTGTAAAAGGATAGACTAAGACTGTAATCTGGAGTTGTGTTGGATCCTCTGCTTGAAAGAAATTCATAATCATTTGCTAATAGAATAGCCTGTTTGTGTATAATTGGAACAGTGACAGTTGGAGCAAAACTGCTGTTATGAAAAGACGAAGTGAAGTTTTTGGTTTTTAAATTGGACTGATCTGAAGTTTGGGCCTGGCTTGGGGCAGAGGACATATCCTGTTATGTCTGTTTGCCTTCTTGGCCCAGCAGAATCTTTTTATTTGAGGAGAGGGAGGTACATTTGACACAGTGAACAGGTAATGTTTGGTGTGAGATCTCAAACAGCAGCAAAGCTGTGAGGAAGAGGGGAAGAAACATGTGGCTGGGATCCAGTATCTCTCCGGCTGTCAGCAGAGGTAC